GAGAAAACATTAATGCAAAAAGGCAATTCGAAAGAAAAACAATAAACAACGCAACGATGACCTTAACATTTCCCGAAGGCCTACTATTGAATCGCGAGCCAAACACACACCCGCTCAATTTTTTGGAGTGGGTCATCTTCCGTGTGGCAGTTTTGCCGGAACTGTGTGTGCCCTACGGCAACAACGGCATGGGAGTCCGATGGAGCTTCCAGGGCGGCAATACTACTTTCTGTAGCACAGCTACATAGTTCGTAGTAAAACCTGCCGTGCACGTCACTTACTACGTGTGCCCTCTCCTGCTCCATTTCCTTCTGCCCGCACTGCTTGACAGAAAGTGAATGCCACCAGTTCGTCCTGGACCTTCGTGAAGGTGGACCACGTCTCCTATCCTCAGGGCCTTCCAACACCTTTTGACCAAGACACCCATCATCTATGATGAAGGGACTACCTTCTCCAGTCGCTTCATGACACGTTCTCACCGGACGTTGTCCCACAAACTCACAACCAGGAGTTTCTTAACTCCAACTTTTCGAAAGAATCTAAAAGAACGTACAGCCACTTAAGTATTTCTATCAGCGTCTGGCAAGGGGTCCGTCCCCGGAGATCTCTACTCTCAATCCAGTGATTAAGCCATAAACCCAAGTGATCCAGGCGGGTGCAAATGACCTCTGAGCATATCTTTTATTCGATATCGTTACACCTTTAGACTAGTCAGCGCTGACAAGTCTACTGGTGTAACTAGACTAGTCTAGACTTTATACGGGACAGATATAGACTAGTCTAGTCTAGATTTAACCGTCTGTTGGGTTATTAATGCAACCAGCGGAATACTGTAATTGCCATTGGTTCTCATCCCCCTCGCGATGATGAGACGGTTCCTCCGACTGACAGCTTGCAGCTATAATAGCTGGCAGTGACCGAAGTGCCCTGAAGTGAACACAACCCTTTGTGAACGAACCTGATCTGAGCGCTATCGAGCAGGCTTGAAACGGTGGGTGCCCAAAGGGTGTGCCCGTCCGCGCTTTGGTGCACGCAGTATTCAATACCTTTGCATCGAACAGGAGAAAGGTTGATCGAGAGCAGAGGAAGGTAGTTTCGAGGTATACTGATCCTCGAAATGATACAGAGGGCTCTCCATCAAAATGCACAGCGCACCGAGCAGGGACCGGGAGGGACGGGACGATTTTCAGGTTTTGATCGGATTGCAGATCTATGATCACAGCCAACGTAATGGTCAACAACAGCAGTCAACAGCAGTAATTACTAACAGTCATTCTCTTCGACTTTTCTGGCCTGTTGCCAAATACGCTTATCGATCATGTGGGTGTGTCGCAAACAAGGAAATCCAAAATGAAGCTGGCAGGCACGTGCGATGTGCTTTTTCCAGAGAAGAGTGCCACTAGCAGAATACCCTGGGGCGGTTTTCTCGCAGCTGGTCCAGAATGTATTTTCGTCGCTGACCCTTCTCAGCTAGCACAGAGTTGGGAGGAAGAACTGCTATGTACGTCTTACATGCACCCAGCCTTCATCCTCTCCACTACTGCTGTGCCGGCGCCTTCATGTAGTCTACCTCACTTCAATAATCGGGGAAAGCTGGACACGTTTATGTAGGGTGCGGGGCATTTTTTTCATGCCCATGAGCACAAGTGTGGCAAATCGTTTATTGGCGTGTGATCTTGATGAGGTACAGGCGGTTCGTCAGCGTGCTTTTAAAAAATGTTTAACCTGGCTGGGTGGAAGGGGAAACGAGCGCCAATCCGTTGATCGTGGGTGGCTTCGTGGCCCACGGCAAAAACAGGAACCATCCAGCAGAATCATTGACATGGATGACGGCGCTCTCAGAAGCGCCCGGCATGCATACAATGCCAACATAACTTCTTAGTAGTCTATGCATAGAACGCGCTAAAAATATCGAATACAGCAGTTATTGGTCGGTTCACCTCATCAGCAGGAACCCATACTTTCCGCCCAATTAGACTATTCAAGGTCGCGGGTCGCACCACAAATCCATCGCCAGACAAGGACAACACGCCCCGACTACCTCTGCTCCACGCAGTCTTTGAAACAACCACCTACAACAACATTAACTATTCTTCCGTGAAGATGTGTCAACAGCATCGACTGCCTGCATAGTGTCTAGTCTAGTCTACAAACCAAACACCAATCAACTGCAGCAGTACGGAGTGGGTACATACAAGAATCTCTGGCAGCTCTACTACGGATGTAGGTCCACGCCAAGACTTCTCGTGAGGGCATGAAAGGGGTCGAAAAGACACGGACGAGATGCACGGGGGTATCAAGTAGGATCACACGCTACGCCTCGTCTTTGTAAAGGAGTTATACATCCTCCTGCGCAACACATCATCTTACGCAACGGGAAGGATTTAATGAACAGTCAACAGAAGGCACCACAAGCAAAACGTGAAACCGACAAATATAGCGACAAGGTCGACGGCATCAAAGGGGGGTACCTACAAGGCCGCAGTTGCAGATCGGAGTTTGTGTTTATCCAACATGAACATCAGCCCGTACACATACACGGCGAGGTGGCACAGAATGGAAGCACACGATAAGACCAGCCTAACTCGACAACAGTAGTAGCGTGAAAACCCTTTTGATTTTCTATGCTCCTGAGCCCAAAATGGGCAAGAAACGAATTGGTCATAACCAAAAAGCACGTCAGCGTAGCCGAAGTGTGCAGCCGCGCGACACGGGACAAAATTGACAGGGACAACAAACGGACGCCCAGCTCGTCCGAGAAAACAGAGCAAATCTGGAATCGTTCTGGACACAAGCGTATACACGAGGTTGGATAAACTGTATGACAAAACCCTCCCGCAGGAAGCCGGAGCCGAAAGCTAGAAAACCACAAAAGTGAGCCTTGTGTAGGGGGGGGTACTGCCCCCACACCTCCCCCCCTCCCCCTGCTGCAGAGAAAAGCAATAACCAAATACAACCATCACGGCGGTAAACTACCCCTTGCGTACCAATGTCAACGGTCGGTACTCTTCCCCTACCCGTTCGCTTATCCCCACCACTTCGCGTAAACCCACCAGTCTAAAGTCAATTTATGCCCTTACTAGCCTTCTTGGTGCTACCCTATCCTCAACACTTCGCGCAAAGCCACCAGTCTCAAGTCAATAACTGCCCTTGCTAGCCTTCTTGGTGCTACCCTGGCTAGCCCCGGCCCCACCCTTCTTCGGATTAGCCCAGAGGTTCTCATGGTCGGCTCAATCTTCATGGTCGACTTGGGCTCGTCCTCGGCGCTAGCCGTCGAAGAAAAGTCCCACACGGTGTCGAAGTCGTAGCCGCTAGTCAAGCAGTGGTCCCTAATTGAAGGTGTCGTAAACGTAGGGCAGCTGGTTCGGGCGTCCATCGATGCGAGGACCTCTCGGTTGGTGAAGTTGTTCGCAATCTCGGGGTTGCCCTTCTTGCCGGTCTTGATCTGAAGCGATGAGACGTGTCGGGCAGGCC